AGTTGTATGAACAAACAATTTTCACAGCTTATAAACTTCTAATCACACTATAATATATATCATTAACACAAAAAGAGCTTAGATTATTTCTTTTGAAAATTCTATAGGAAATAGAAATAAATTTGAGCTGTTCAGAACATTTGTTGTTTCAACTGATAATTTATGCACATATTTAACAAGGTAAATGTTATACTACTTAGTAGGCCGATTAGAAGATTAGATGTCATAAATGTGTTAAAGTGTTTTTTTTTAAGATGACAATAATACTCATCTATAATAAAAAATAAATGCATAAGTGTATATTTCAGGAATATAAAGCGAAAGTATACTAAAGCAAACCTTCATGGAATGTGGACGGCACATTACTCCGACGGGACGGGGACAGTCAATCTATCTTGTCAACTCAGCTCGATTTTATCGTAGTTGCTGGACGCTTTTGATTTTTGTCACTTGAATGTTCTGCATTTTTTACTTTAAAAGGACTTATGAAAAGTCAAACGTCTTTAATACTAATAGTATAGTTTGTTGGAAACGTCAAAAACGTCCCAAGGGCTGGTCCCACAGTACTTTTATCTCTTGTGGCATGTGCATCCTTTACCGGATACTAATTGTTCCAATAGTTCAATGTAAAACTTTTTTTTGTATGCACCCCGATACGAGAAATGTCAAGTCCAATGAACAATCCAAAGGTTGTGCAAATTTTGATKGGCAAAGTTGTTTTAAAGAAAGCGATAGACTGACCGTAGTGACTAAGAATAATTATGGTATGCATTAAAAAGAGTTATTTACGACACTGTCAAGCAAGACTTGAGAATAAATATTGAGAATTAATAAATAGAAAAATAACTAAATAATACAGTAAATTATACAGTAATAGCATAGTGAAAAACCGGGCATAAAAAAACATCTCTTCGTGTGATGTCACGACGACAATCTTTAATCCATGCTAAACTCATTTTAATGTTTCACACATTTGCTGTTTGATACTTATCGTTATTGGCTTATTCATTTTCATCTTAGCGTTTTGCATCGTTCCAGTTTGGAATTCTTGAGTCTGTCAAGTTGTTGATTACAAGGCCAATTTCAAAGTATTTTTTTTAGGCATCAGGGGCCGGGAGATTGAAACTGACAGTTCATTAAATCACCAATTTCATAATCAGACAATTGATCAGATAAAACTACAGATTACGCTGATTGTTGACATGGAGAACTACTGCTCATTTTATTCGATCGTCAATACTTCTTGCAGCTCTTATAATCGAAGAGAAAAAAATTCAGAAGCTACAAGCATTCCTTTATTGAACTGCACTAAAGATATTTCATCTCATAAATCATCCCTTGCGTTTAGTGGTGTATACAATGAAAAGGACTTGATTCTCCTTCGATCTGGTTTGTTTGGCGTCGATCTACACAAACAAAAACAACTAATAATATGCTCATTTCATCGTTCTACACTTGGGATTGGCTGGGTTAGAACGAGCACTAAATGCAGTGTCCCTAGGAGTGTCGCACGACATAAGAGAAAGTCTGTCAAGGGAGACCGTGGCATAAGTGCCAAGACATCAGCACTTATATACGAAATGACTGCTACGTTAATTCCAGTTGGCTCAGGTATTTGTCTTACATTATTCTTCTTAAGTAATGCAGCTAGTCAAAATTGCTAAAAATCTCTTAAAGCACTGGAAAATCAATATATGACTTTTTACTTCAAAGTGGGCCTTTATCTAGTTTTTCACTTGAAATTACCCACAATGCACTCTTATATGTCATATATAGGTATTTTTGACTTTTACATAACTCTTTCAAAACGCTGTTTCCAAATATACTGAGCTTGTTGTAGAAGGCCGAAGTGCCAAACGTCCCCAATAAAACAGAAATATAAAGCTTCATGTTGGTGTTTTGCTTTACTTCATTCTACTTATGTCAATTTATAGGTATATGCAGAAAATGTAGAGATCACTTTGAGTCTATCCCCTCCAAGGAGGAAAATGATGAAGACTTTCAATCAATGACATCCGCACTTGGTCAAATGGGTTTAGTAAGTTAAACATTTATTATTATTATTAATTTTAATATGATGTTGTATCAATTCTCTTAATTTCATTAACTGAGCCAAGTTATTTCGCTTCAATGAAAGACACTTCACATCTTCCTTTTCTTATTCTTTTTCATTACCGATTACTACTGATTTAATTTTTTTTATCTTAAACATTATTCATCTTCTAATGTTGANTCCACAGATAGAACAAAGAGATATCACACGCGTAAGGCTAAGCAAGTAATTGGTGCTGCTCTAGAAGAAATCGCGCCAAACGACATGGATGAGCTTTTCAAATCTGTCATAGCTCAATCAAAGCAATATGAAAGTAATGAAGATACTGTTCTTTTGAATCTAATATCTGAATCATATATGAATGCTAATCACTGGAGCACGCGAAGGCAGATATTGTCTATTATTGCCGACCAAGTGTCGTTTCAAACGATCCAGAAGTGGATACCGGGAATAACTAGGTATCGTTTTGATGAAGCAAGAAAACATAAAGTCTCACATGGGAGGGGTGCAACAGTTCAGGTTCCTCAACACAGTAGAATGTACGTGTCTGATGATCAGCTTGATCATTTCTTGGACTTTATTACTAGCGGCCATATCGTGCAGGATTTACCGTTTGGCGAAAGAAAACTCAAACTGTCTAACAATGAAAGTGTTTCCGTTCCAAATGTTATTAGAACACTTATTCCAGAACAAATCATACGCCAGTACCATGCCTACTGTAACGAAGTAAATTTCAAGCCTATGGGACGCACGACACTGGTCAAAATCCTAACTCACTGTTCTGCATCAATACGAAAGTCTTTGCAAGGTCTTGACAACTTCAGCGCTGATGGAGCAAAAGCATTTTTGACGACCTGGAGGATGTATCGGAAAAACTTGGTGACTCTAGTGGGTTGGGTCTGTCTTGGTCAAAASAAAAAAGGGAAAAGCTGAAATTAGCCAAGCGCTATCTCAAGGGAGATTATAAGGTGAGAAAGCTTATTTAAAATGCACCCATAGTTCTGGCCCAACGTTGTTCCAAAGAACAATACAAGAATAAAAATGAGTAATTTTGAACTTAGSTATGCAGATGTTTTGATGCCAAATTGCGCAATGCTGCATYTTTTACTGAATTTGCAGCATATAATGAGCTTTCAGTTTCTTTAATAAAGTTATTTTTTGTTATTGCTGTTSATATAGGTTCATGTCTCGAAAAACTCATCCATCGCTGACCACTGTACAGTATATGCTTTAAGCTGCCCCAATGATGACGATCATAAGCAAGATTGTAACCACAGACATGACGATATATGCKATAGATGTCAGCAACTTACCAAGGTTATATGCGACATAGAGCAAGGCTTAGAAAAGGCGGAATGTACACTTGCCGTCAAAAAGGAACTGTCGTTCATAATTTCTGAAGCAAAAAAGAACATCTACGCCTGGAAAGCTCATTTGCTTCGGTCAGCAAACCAAGATCAACGTAGATTAGACGTCCTGAACAACCTAGACTCAACCTCACTACTGTTGACGATCGACTGGGCCATGAAATACCAACCCAAGAAATATCGCGAAAGCCAAAGCGAATGGTTTGGGAAAAGAGGGATTCCCTGGCATATAACCGTCGTAACTAAGAAGAATGMATCCGGCGAAATGGAGACGCTGACTTTCGTGCATCTTTTTGAAAGTGTAGCTCAGACAAGTACCACTGTCCTTGCTATCTTTGATGACGTTATCAAGCAACTAAAAGCAGTGATGCCAGAAATGCAGAACCTTTACTTAAGACAGGATAACGCTGGCTGTTATCACAGCGGGTTAAACATGATTGCAGCGAGGTATGTGGCCAAAGCCAATGGAATCAGCCTTGCAAGCATGGATTTCTCTGATCCACAAGGCGGCAAAGGTTGCTGCGACAGGAAAGCAGCAACCATTAAATCTCACATGACCGCCTACCTAAACTCAGGTCATGATATTTCAACAGCCACGGAGATGGAAAAAGCTATCAACTCTTTAGGAGGAGTACCTGGCGTAAATGTTCGTTTGTGTTTGATGACACAAGAAGAACTCCAAGCGTTAAAATGGGATGGAGTGAGCTACGTCAATAATCTTCAATACGATGACACAAAGGTTAAAGTTTGGAAGGCATACGGGATAGGAAAAGGAAAGAGTTTACTTTGGAGTAAGTTTGATTTTACTGAGGAAGACACGCTGCCAAGTCTAACATCTACCAGTACCTCAACAGCTGCCTTTGTTACTGTAAAAAAGACGCGACAGGCTCCCAGTGCCGCAAAAGAAAAACATGACGACAAAACAGATGAAAGTGAACAGGAATCAACCAACGCTGCAACATCTAGTTCTGAAGATATCTTCGCTTGTCCCGATGAAAGCTGTGTAAAGACCTATCGCCGATATTCATCTCTAGAGAAACACTTAGATTATGGAAAACACAAGCAAGCGCTACAATTTGAAACTCTCTATGATCGAGCAATTCTTCGATATGCGTCAAGGTTGGAGTTGTCTCAAAGCGCCATTCCAAGAATAGAACGTGATTTCAACATTGAGACTGTCAGCGAACCATCGCTATCAATGGGATGGGCTCTGAAATCCTCGACTGCTACCAAAAAGAGGTTCTCAGATAAGCAGCACCGTTACCTATTGGCTAAGTTTCAGATTGGCGAGCAAACCGGAAGAAAATGTAGTCCTGCTGATGTGGCAGTGGAAATGAGGAGAGCAAAAGGTGAAGATGGAGAGCTCTTGTTTGAAAGTAACGAGTACCTTACCACCAAGCAAATTACTGGGGTATTTTCTCGCCTTTCTGCAAAACGCTCTTTGAATGATGATGATGATGATGAAAATGATGAGAGAATGAAAGACAGGAAAGAAATCAGAGAACAAGTGCAAAACGAAATATCCGTACAATCACACCATCCCATCGTGTATGACACTTACGACTTATGCAGTCTAGTTCAAAATAACAAACTCAGTTTAAGATTATCTGTCAAACTGCTACAAGAAATTTGTACAAACTTTGGACTTGACATTTCGCACATCGAGGTGCATCGAAAAAAGCCGTACATTGACTTATTAGAGCAATTAGTAAAAGGATGCACATGCCACAAGAGATAAAAGTACTGTGGGACCAGCCCTTGGGACGTTTTTGACGTTTCCAACAAACTATACTATTAGTATTAAAGACGTTTGACTTTTCATAAGTCCTTTTAAAGTAAAAAATGCAGAACATTCAAGTGACAAAAATCAAAAGCGTCCAGCAACTACGATAAAATCGAGCTGAGTTGACAAGATAGATTGACTGTCCCCGTCCCGTCGGAGTAATGTGCCGTCCACATTCCATGAAGGTTTGCTTTAGTATACTTTCGCTTTATATTCCTGAAATATACACTTATGCATTTATTTTTTTATTATAGATGAGTGTTATTGTCATCTTAAAAAAAACACTTTAACACATTTATGACATCTAATCTTCTAATCGGCCTACTAAGTAGTATAACATTTACCTTGTTAAATATGTGCATAAATTATCAGTTGAAACAACAAATGTTCTGAACAGCTCAAATTTATTTCTATTTCCTATAGAATTTTCAAAAGAAATAATCTAAGCTCTTTTTGTGTTAATGATATATATTATAGTGTGATTAGAAGTTTATAAGCTGTGAAAATTGTTTGTTCATACAACTGAC